CAGACTCTGGCTGTCCAGCTTGTCCGAAAGATCGATCGATCGTACATATATGTAGTCATCTCACCTCTTCTCCCAGCTTCGACTTCCTCTCCGCAACTTCTCTGTTTGTTTGATGCCCCCGCTCTTGTCACCTTCACCGCCAACCAAAAAGTCTGATTGTTATTGATTTCGTCGACCTCCACCATAACAACAATAATCATCTTTATATCTGGTTGGATAACGTTGATATTCCTACAAAGGGCACCATGGTTGAGCTAATCCATCCCCCCGATCCTCATACGTTGCTCCCTCCTCTCCTAGCTTGCCTTCCCACAGCGTTTGTCTCGACACGCCCTCCTCCCGTGCTTCTACCCCTCTTATCACCTATTCTCCGACAGCGTGTTCAGATCCTCAGTTCAGTTTCCACATCTCCGACGGATTCGTGGTTGCGGTTACTATGCTGGGATTCAGAAAAGGCCGAGCGTCTTCAAGCGCTGGTGGATGGCGCAAGCTTCGAGCCTCACCCGGTATCCGGCGAGATCGAACTCCCACAAGAAGTTCATGTTGCGTACAAACGGGTGGATGAGGAGACATTGCACTCGAGAATTCTGTTACCGGAATACAGCTTGAAAGCCGTATATCTCTGGTGTCCCAGTGATCAAGATGGAGGAGGGCCCGGATGGCGTGTGGCTGAATTGATGCCCCATGAAGGCGGCGCCGAAAATGACGGGGTTTGGTCATTCTCGATCGGGGAGGCGAATGCTCAGGCAAAGGAACAATTGGTGGAGGATGCTCTTAGGGAGGCAGAGCAGGATCAAAAGGTCGCTCCACACAGCCAAGAGAAGGACGAAGAGGAGGACGATGACGACGGCTATTGGGCTCAGTATGATGCTACACCTGGCCGAACGCCTTCCGTCAAGACCCCTGCCCCTAATCCACTTTCGTCTCTCCAACGCCAGGATACGTCCGAAGCGTCGTATTTCTCACGCTACGCTGATGTGCAACCGGCAATGGATAACCACGATCCATCAGAGGAGCAACCGGAGGTTGGCCCAAGTTCGTTGAACGGAGACATGCTCGCGAGTTTGCTGCGGCAGCAGGTGAATAGCTCAAGCTTGGAAGAACCGGCTCGAACGAATGGTTACGCCAATGGAACAATTGCCGACGAGACGACTGCCATGTCGCTAGATCATCCTCGGCCGTCTTCCACGTCGTCCACTGCCTCCGAGGCGGCAGTCGCAAAGTTGGAGCAAGAAGCGGAGCATCAGTCTGCTTGTGAAGTCGGCGTGAAGCAACATATCAGCTCCAATATCAAAAGCCTATTCCGGCTTGCGAAAATTACGGGCCTCTCACGTGCAGAATTCCAATCTCTGGTCAAGACGGAATTGGAGTTGTTGAATTTGTCTGATGACGAATAAATGCTGGTGAAATCGCTGACTGACGGCTGCTTACGACAAAATGATTCTCTTCTTATTGATATTGCTGGTTTTGTACATTATACCATCTTATTTGCTGCCTTTCTTTGAGCGTTGGGAGTTGCATCACTGTCACACAGGATATCCATTTTATTTAGGACAACAGATTGCTTGCAGTTGAGCACAACATTGGAATCGATAGGTAATCGAAATATCACAACCCCAACAATGATAAAGGTAAATCATTCATAGTTGGTAGGGTAGCATGTGCACGGCCTCATACTTCACATTTTAAGGTAAATAATTCATAGATTCGACGCTCGGACCAACGTCTTGTTCCGTTCCGCGCGTCCTCCGAATAATGACACGCAATCCGCTTACAGACAACCGACCCCCCGTAAATATAGCTGGCAGTATATTTTCCTCCCCCACTCCTCTTCCAAGCCTCACTACCATCTGTTCTGCTGTATTGTACTCCGTACTACCATGTACTCTCCGTGATCATCATTGTAAGTTATTGCTCAATGGCGATCCTCTGATCCTGGAGCTTATCATTGTTCTGTTCAGTTCGCTGATCTTATCTGTCGATTCCAGCTTTATCTAGGTGATCGACTGTCATTCTCTTAGCTCCTTTTTCTTGTCGTGTACTTTTTCTTCGGATCATGTCTTCATCTCCTTCGTCCTCTCTTCGCAAGAGAGGCGGGAGGAAGGAGGCTTATTCTCCATTGCCTTCGGACGATGCCTCCTCTCCTTTGTCTTCATCCAAGCCAAGCGTGGCTCCCAAGAGCCAGTCGGGGTGGGACTATAGGCTGGCCTTAGTCATTCTCACCATCCTGGCGTTCATTACCCGGTTCTACAAGATATCCTACCCTAATGAAGTGGTCTTTGATGAGGTCCATTTTGGCAAGGTGAGTGAAGCTGTTTCTCATTGATGAGTTGTACAATCTGACATGGGACTTGATTCTCTCAGTTCGCTTCTTACTACTTACAAAGAACTTATTTCTTCGATGTCCACCCTCCATTTGGCAAATTGCTCTTCGCTTTCATGGGCTGGCTGATTGGCTATGACGGCCACTTTTTGTTCGACAACATTGGCGACTCCTACATCGATAACAATGTTCCCTATGTCGCTCTGCGCGCAATGCCGGCCACTCTGGGGGCTCTGACCATCCCAGTGGTCTTCCTCATCATGTGGGAGTCCGGATATTCGCTGCCAGCCTGTGTGTTGGCTGCCGGTCTCGTCTTGTTTGATAATGCCCACGTCGGAGAGGACAGACTGATTCTGCTGGATGCCTCGTTGGTGCTTTCCATGGCACTAAGCATTCTGTGCTACGTTCGCTTCTACAAGCTGCGCCATGAACCCTTTGGCCGTAAATGGTGGAAATGGCTGCTCTTGACAGGTGTTTGTCTCAGCTGTGTCATCTCTACGAAGTACGTCGGTGTTTTCACATTTGTCACCGTTGGTGCTGCGGTCTTGGTTGACCTGTGGAACTTGCTGGATATCAACCGCCCGTCGGGAGCTCTCAGCATGGCCCATTGGAGCAAGCACTTTGCTGCCCGCGCATTTGCCCTCATCATTGTGCCTTTCTTCTTCTACCTGTTCTGGTTCCAGGTCCATTTCGCAATTCTCACCCGCTCCGGGCCAGGCGATGATTTCATGACCCCCGAGTTCCAGGAAACCCTCAGTGACAACCTCATGTCGGCGCAGTCGATCGGCATTGAGTACTATGACACCATCACTATCAGACACAAGGACACCAAGGTGTTCCTTCACAGCCACTGGGAGAAGTATCCCCTCCGCTATGATGACGGCCGTATTTCCAGCCAGGGCCAGCAGGTCACAGGATACCCTTTCAATGATACGAACAACCACTGGGAGATTCTGCCTTCTGTTCCCTATCCTGACACCGACAGGCAGGGCCACAGCGTCAAGAATGGCGATATCGTCCAGCTCCGTCACGTTGGCACTGACACCATCCTGCTGACGCACGATGTTGCGTCTCCTTACTATCCTACCAACCAGGAGTTCACCACCATTTCTCATGAATTGGCCAATGGTGAGCGACACAATGATACGCTGTTCGAGATCAAGATCGAGAACGGCAAGCCTCAACAGGAATTTCGCAGTCTTTCAAGTCATTTCAAGTTGGTCCATGTGCCAACTCGCGTCGCGATGTGGACTCATACAACCCCCCTTCCTGAGTGGGCCTTTAAGCAGGCCGAGATTAACGGTAACAAAAACGTTCTTCAGACGAGCAATCTTTGGTTCGTGGATACAATCGAGTCGCTGGAGGAAGACAGCCCCCGTGCCGTGAAGCAAGAGCGCCAGGTCAAGCATCTTCCCTTCTGGCGCAAGTACCTTGAGCTGCAGCGAGCCATGTTCTTCCATAACAATGCCCTGACCAGCAGCCATCCGTACGCCAGTGAGCCCTTCCAGTGGCCCTTCCTACTCCGAGGTGTCAGCTTCTGGACCAAGAATGACACCAGAGAGCAAATCTACTTCCTGGGTAACCCCATCGGATGGTGGATTGCCAGCAGTCTGTTGGCTGTCTTTGCTGGGGTCATTGGCGCTGATCAGCTGTCCCTTCGCCGCGGAGTCGACGCTCTTGAGGAAAGTAAGTTTGAATTCTCAGTCCACACGACGACTCGCGATCTAACCTTGCCTTCTAGTCTGGGGCTATGGCGCTCGTTCTCGTCTTTACAACAGCACTGCCTTCTTGTTCCTTTGCTGGGCTGCCCACTACTTCCCCTTCTGGCTGATGGGTCGTCAGCGTTTCCTCCACCATTACCTTCCGGCTCACGTCGCGTCGTGTATGGTCGCGGGGGCTCTGATCGAATTCATTTTCAACCTGCAGCCGATCCCGGTTGCTAGAACTGTAAAGGAAGATGATCCGACTGGCAAGTCCAAGGCCCATGGTAACGCCGGTCATTTCGTCACCGCGAAGGAACGCATGGGCCGTCAATCGCTCATTGCCGGGTGGGTTGCCACCCTGGTCATTCTGAGTGTGACAATCTGGGGATTCTGCTTTTATGCGCCCCTGACATACGGTACCCCTGGCTTGGATGTTGCGGGTGTCAATGCACGGAAATGGCTGGGCTATGACCTGCATTTCGCCAAATAATCAGCTATCCTTTAGGCGGCGCATTGCCTGGCAGTCGGTCAGGATGTCCAGTTGGGTATGATAGGACCTTGTGCCTCTTGGGATTCCTCTTCTCCTTCAACACTGATACTCAGTGAAGCAATTCCCCGGGAGTTTCTGTCACAAGTGAATGGTGGATGATGATACTAAGTGATGCCCTTTCCTCATTCGTCGCAGATAATGTTCGCGGTCGAGCCACGTTCAAGCGTGGAATCCCTTCTCTTTCCCGTCCTTCGAGTCTATACTGTCTACATCTTTCTACATATGTATTTTGATATCCGTTAGCAATAAGCTTCATTTACTGTCTACCATTACTGTATCATGCGAGCTAGCAACCAAAATGAGGAGACAAAAACTGATATTTCAAAGCATACAAAATCTAACGCCATCCCTGGAGTATCATATATGCACAAGTAAAAAACACCAAAACCACATCACAAGTCTATATGGTAGGCTATATTTCACCCTAGTAGGTCATTCTTTTGCCGATCTCGCTCTCCCACCCTCGGGCTCGTTCGAAACCATTCGACGCGGTCTGGTAGTCAAGCATGGCCTGGTAGACCTCCTCCTGGCTTGTGAGAACAAAAGGCCCATACTGCACGACCTTCTGATCCAGAGGCTGACCCGCCGCGAGGATGAAGCGAGACTCTGACTCGGCATTATCCGGGACCGACGCCTCGACATAATCACCCGCCTGGTCAAAGACCACATTATGGAACTCCTTGACGACCCGCGTGGTGCTGTTCGAGCCGAAGATCGCCGTCCCGGCCAGCGTATACGCAAACGCATTCCAGCCCTTCGGCAGCGGCTGGGAGATGCGACCGCCCGGCCGGATCGTCACGTCCAACAACCAGACAGGCGTGTACGCCAGATCGCGCACAGAATCGACACCATGCGACTGGCCCGAGATGACCTTGACGGTGACACGGCCGTTGTCGACCTCCGCGACGGGGATCTCGCTAGCGCGGAGATCGCGGTACCGCGGCTCGCACATCTTCAGCTCCTTGGGCAGGTCAACCCACAGCTGCATGCCGACGTTGGGGCTGCCGTCGGGATTCTCGCGGGGCATCTCGGCGTGCATGATGCCGCGGCCGGCGGTCATGAACTGCAGGTCGCCGGGGCCGATGGTGCCTTTGTTCCCGGCGAAATCTTCGTGGTCGACGCCGCCGGAGAGCAGGTAGGTGATCGTCTCCTGGCCGCGGTGGGGGTGGTCCGGGAAACCTGCGTCGCTGCCGGCGTTGAAGTGGTCCAGCATGAGGAAGGGACTGAAGTTCCGCAGTTTGGCGGTGCCGATGGAGCGGCGCACGCGGGCGCCGGCGCCTTCGGCTTGTTCAATGGCCAGGAAGACCTGACGGATTGCGCGGGGGACGGCCATGTCGGTGAGGGGGAGGACGACTGGATCGGTGTATGTGGTGACGGGAGGAACGGAGGAGGAGGTGATAACGCTGTTCTTTCGCAGGTACTGCGACAAGGTGGTTGAGAGTTGTTCTTTGAGAGAAGAGCTTAGACTTCCGAGGTGAGCTGAATCAGAGGCGAACTGATATGAGAGGAAGACTGCTGCGATGCAAACTAAAAGAGATAAAAGGACTTTCATCGATCACAGCCGCAGCTACTTATACTTAACGGGCACAATTCTAGGAAAGCTGTAGAACAGCCTCGAGCGAGGATGGAAGCTTTAAGTGAGAAATACTACAACATTGTCAGCGTTAGTCAGTCATTAGTTTATAACTATAACTCCGTAAGTCCGTATCATTGATTAGAATAGATCAAAAAGCCAATCCACTGGATCAGAGCAATCCCATCTGGGTCTGTGGGGTTTCATTCTCATCGACTCGCCGGAGGTGATGGATAATCGACCAATTCCCATGGGTGACGCTGCATTGATCGGAAATTATAAGATGATTACCAAGATCCCCGTCAGCACGCGCTAGGCTATCCTGGGACGCTGGGCCCCACTATATTGCGGCATGGAGCCTGAGTTGTCAGGCCCCGGGTGGCACCAGCTCTATCAGCTCTATGTCAGCATTCTAGAAGGTTTGCAACTCACTTTAATATTAAAGTTCTGAGGGTCATATATTTAGAAATTGCCGCATCTCCCAATAAATCCTCGATGGTCTAACGGTCATGATTTCCGCTTGTCACTCCAAAGAGAACGAGCGCGGGAGACCAGGGTTCGACTCCCTGTCGGGGAGGAATTTTTTTCTGTATCCAGAACCACGTTCTGGAATGAGTCTCTTTTTGCTTTTTCTAATTCACATTGTAGTGTTATTGACAAGAAAAACTCATAAATACAGAGTGCTGGTGCTGCATATACGTCACAAGAGCATATACTAGACTAGACATTTGTGAAAAATCTCATTTCTCAGACCAAGGCTATGTACCGTACATATCGAAATTGGCAAAACGACAAAGGAAATCACATGAGACCGTGGAAGGATAAGTCACAAAAAAGAGGTTCAGCGCAAAAGGGGAAAAAGAAAGAGACAACGAAAGGCAAAATCCCAGCCAAAGTATGTCGCAAGCAGCATCAAGACTGAACACAACCGCCGCAAGCTCAAACTGTGCAGGAGAAGAAGAGTTGTGGCCTCGTGCATGGAGAATGGTAACAAAAAAACACGGACGGACATCTCACTTCCAAGATTACGTAGGGCCCCAAGCGGCTTGAATGGCGTGTGAGACGAAAGAAAACGAGAAAACGAAATGGTCTAGCTCGCTGAGGCTGCAATAGTGTACCGAAGCATGGCTTCAAGAGCTCGCTTGAGTCGAATCGAATAACATGCCATGATTCAGTTGCTGTATGCGTCTCAGCATCACGCTCAGCAGAAACAAGAGACATCATCCGTAAGGTGCATTCAATCCCGCTAGCAAGAAATACTAGAAAATAATGTATAGCAGAGAAATGATCATGTGCCGCAGGACAAATCAGATTATATACACCGCGCTCTTTTAGAATCCGAATGGATTTGTGGGCGCTAGAAGGAGAGAACAGTCAGTGGCCTTGAACAAACGGTGACAGGCTGGCACATCTTAGCGATGGGGAACTCACTAGCTTGTGCAAGATTAGCCCGCAAACCTGTTGGCTGGGGAGTCAGCTTCTTAGGAGCATCATGCTTGACCCCAAATCGTACGGGAGGAGGTGGTCCGGTCTTCTGTGGCTGCAAAGGTGCGGCTGTGGGCTGTTGGGGAATAGGGGGTACCGGTGGCGGGGAGGTCATAGTATAAGGCATACTGCTCGCACCGTTCATGCCAGTAGGTTGGGGTTGAAGAGCCGGAGGAAGTATCGAGTTAACGCCTGTCGGCATTGGCCGCTGTGGCTGGGGTTGAAAGCCTCCGAAGCCTGTCGGCTGCGGTGCAAGGCCCTGGAAGCCAGTCTGCTGTTGCTGTAACTGCTGAAGGCCAAATTGTGACTGTGGCTGGAATCCAGTGGGCTGTGGCACCAATCCACCTGCAAACTGACTTGGCGGCATGAAACCGGTCGGCTGCGGTTGGATCGATGGATTGAAGCGTTGCTGGTTCAAATCGGCCAGACTCTGGCCAGGCGGGGCGATCTGTGGGCCGGGTTGAGGAAGACCGGTCAGTTGTGGTTGCAATGGAGGAGGACCAAAAGCATTTGGCTGCTGGGGGAAGTTCTGTGGCGCGGAAAGCGGCCTCTGTGGAGGGGGCGGGAGAAGCGAGCTCTGAGCCATATTTTGAGGCGGTTGTGGGCGCGGCCTCGATGCCTGCTGAAAGCCTGTCTGTTGAGGGCTGAACGTCTGGGCGCCGGTTTGCATAGGCTGCTGTGCTATTTGTGCCACTTGGTTGAAAAAGCCAGGAGTGGCACCTGTCTGTTGCGGCTGCAGCAGGGGCGTAGGCCCTGCAGTCGGCTGTGGCTGGATAGCAGCAGGGGCTGACGGAGCTTGGGCGGCCTGAGGAGTAGGTGCGGGCGCCGGCTGTGCAGGAGTGGGCTGGAGAGGTGCTTGCAGTAGAGATAGGTCAGCCATTGCCCCGGTAAGTTGTTTTTGCACTGGAGCTTGGGTTGTAGCGGGCGGTGCTGAGACCGGAGGTGGGGATGAGGGAGGTGGCGCCGAAGACGTGGCCTGTTTAGGTTGCTTCACCTCCCAAGCATCGTCATCGAAGCCACGCTGTACCGGCTTCTCAACCGCAGGAGGAGCGGGTGGTGTTTCGGTGCGTTCCTGAGGGTTGGGTGCGTCCTCCTTCAGCTCGAAGGCCTTCGGATCGACCACATCACTGGCGTGGACTGTGGGTGCCGGCCTGCCCTTGCGGGTGTTGTTGCGTAGAACCCCTCCTGGGCCGGAGAAAAGACCGCCGGGAGAGGTAGCCTCCCCATTGCTGATGACCTCTTCTCCGCCGAAGCTGACATTGCGCAGCTTGGACTTGGACCCAGTTCTGCCGAACATATTGTCCAGATGCCGCATAACCCGCAGAATATCACCCTCCTTCAATCCAAGGGTACGAAGGGTCTCAGAGGTAATGTCCGGTAGAATCGCTTCATCCATGGAGTCCTTGATAAAGTTCTGAGCATACCGCTCGCATTGGTGAGGTCCCACTCCCGCTTTTAGGAAGAAATCAAACCAATCGTACTCGGGCCCAACTGACGCACCAGGGCGACTGGCCTCGGATTTCGACTCGGATTTCGACTCGGGTTTTTGAGATCGGCGGCGAATATCAGATAGAGGCTTGTCCTCATCCAAAGATACGCCCGTAAGCTTTTCCACGTATTCCAGGTCCTCAACAGACATCTTGGGGATGGGGACAGCAATCTTGACTCCGTTGGTCTTATGGAGGTGAATCTTCCCATCTTGCAAGCCGATAAATTGCGCTTCGACCGTAAAAGACTTGGTACGATCTGTCCACTGCCTTGTCTTGGTGGGATCCGGTTCTGTAATCTCATTTAGACGGGATTTCAATTTATTAGGAGTTAGGCAAACAGGGTGGAAAGGCTTACTCGGCTTGTTGGCGCTCTTGCTGTCGCGTTTTTTGTGCTGCTCGAAACTCTCAGTATCCTCTCTTACCAGAGTCACTGTTGTTTGGTAGGGTGGTTTAACAGCGCAGCTTACCTCAGAGGTCCGTGAATCTATCGAGTCAGTCCTCGATTTCCGCATCGCTTCCTTGGCCAGGCGCGTCTCTTCGAGCCGATTCCTTTCTACCGTTGATAGGCCCGACTCGACGCCAGCGGGTTGACTGGAAACAAAGCCGGTGATTTCGATGTAGCTGCTTGGTACCACGCCCTCTTTGCCATTCTTCATGCGTCGCACCATCCACCATTCCTCAGATTTGGTGTCGTCCAGAACGACGACCTCATCGCCGGCAGCCACAGTAACCTCGTCATCTCCTTGCGCCATGAAATCATACAGAATTTGACCCTTCTTCTTGCCCCCGCCTCCTGCACCTGCCGCAATGACTTCCTTCAGGCCCTCGGCACGGTAGGCTCCAGAGATCTCACCGAGCGCGGAAACAATCTCTCGAGCGGTGTCCTTGGCCCCAGCATGAAAATCGATACTTTTGCTGGGGCGAACCAGGTCGAGGAAGACATGCTTGCCTTCAATGGAGTAATGGCTGAGTCTATCCGCAGTCCATTCTTGCATGTCGCCGTCCCCTTCTGGTGAGATAAAGATCGTTCCTGTCGCGATGTTGATTCCCAATGTCGTTGGCATTTTCTTCCTCTTGCCCATAACTTCGACCATTTCATTGATATTGTACAGATGATAGCCAGAAGGGGAACGAGGTGTCGACTGTCCGATTCGATTATATGGGGGAGACTCCTGCACATGGCCCTGGCTGTCCCGCTCCCTCATGGCGGCATACTGAGGGCGTGGAGGAGGAGAGGGTTCTGGCGGAGAGTACCGCTCCACTGGAGGAGAGAGCTGTTGCGATGGAGGTCGCTGCGGTAACACTGGAGGCGGCGGTGAGGGTTCCCTCTGGTAACTGTCTTCTGGTTGATAAGAGGGTCGCTGGGGCTGCGGTGGCGGGATATCCCTGGAGGGTTCGGATTCCACGGGTGGTGCGTGCTGCTTATGAATGATATCCGCTATTGCTGCTGCCGCAGGGTTCTGTATCGTGTCAATCGGAGAGCTAGTAGACACGGGCGCGACCGGTTCCTCCGCCGGTACCTCGACCGGGCGTTGCGGAAGGGCCGGAGCGGGGGGCTCGACAGGAGCAGGAGAAGGGAGAGAAGGCGGGGCAGTGGCAGCGGCGGGAGTAGCGTCCTCCTGAATCTCGATGTAGTTTGCAGGGGCGAAGCCGAAATCCCCATTGACACCAACTAATGTCCAATCTGGATCGGAAGTATCGTACACCCAAAGTTCCGCATCCTCAGAGAATGAGACTTCTTCGTCGGTCTGGCGCGTATAGTCGTACAATGCCTTTGCATGGCTGACTGCGGGGGCCTGTACAGTTTGAACGAGTGCCCCGTTAGCACATCCATCATCTCATCGTCAAGAAAGAAGTGTCCGCGGTAGAGCCACGATTGGCACAACCAAACATCCGAAGCGCGCCCCGAGACCCTCAGACAGACTGGATGTCCTAGATCCTTTGGCCATGAAGCATCGCAGGACAGTGTAGCTTACCTCCTCGACATAGTTATTCGGTACAAGACCCTCCGGTTCATCCTCGTCATCTCGTTCGGCCTTCTTCTTCGCTTTCCACCAATCGTCTTCGACGCTCTTCTCGAGTATGTAAAGCAAATCACCCTCGCGAAGTTCTAGTTCGCCTTCGCCCTGGGGCTGGTAGTCGTAGACCGCTTTGTATACCCCGAGGAACCCCATTTTGGATTCAAGCCCCCGGGCGAGCGCCGTCTAACTCGAGGAGGACAGGATGGTTATTTTCTAGCGGTTCCGACGGTTTGGCCCGAGCTGGAAGTGACGCCGGTTTTTATATCGGAAGTCAGGGCGAGCCGGCCGTCCGTAGGGGTTGCCAAGTTCGAAAGGGTAGTCCAGATAGTCGAAGGCCGGTTGATGGTCGATGGATGGGGGGGAACCAGAAGCCTTGGCAATTGAGTATCCCCTCTCCCGAGTTCTGGCCAGTTCAGGGTAAAGGGGCTAATTATGCGATGAAGAAGATTTGGAAGAAGGCGACCGTTTCAATTACGCAAATTAATGAAAGTGATCGAGGAGAAGAGTAAGAAAAATAGAGATGACAGGGGTAGAAACGGAGAGGGAGAGGTTCAGTAAGAGAGAGGATGAGGTTGTCAGCCAGAAGCTAGTAGTGGGTAGAGTGGGTGAAGGTACGTAGTTAGCAGTTCTCCGTACGGAGTACGGGAGAGTTAGTACCTGGTTTGTGGCCCCGGCTGCTGGGGACTGTGACTGAGGTACTGTACCTTACTATCTCTAACATCACAAGTTAACTCTGCGAGTTGATGCTAAGTAAATTCCTGAAAAATTACAACAGCTAGGCAGAATTCATGTACCTGAATATCTCTGTAATTTCACCTGTCATCTCGCCTCACCCTATCTACAGTGTGGAGGAAATGGTCCCGCCTCGAGTGTACTAGTCTGCTGTGCTAGACGATTTCACCCTGGGGTTTTGGGCAGCTGTTCCTGGCATCAACCAAGAGCGATGATTAGGCCAAAACGAATGAATTCCCTCGTGCCTATTCCCTTGATGACAGGGAGGGACCCCTACGTCATTTCTTAACTTTCTCTACATCGGAGTGTCTTTAGCCAATTACCGCTCCAATTATGCGGAGGCCCCTATTCCTCAACTGAATTCAGCAAAATATTTCAGAACGTGATAGGAAGTGGTATCTCAAATCGTAGCTGAGGCTTGATAATAGTAATAAAATGTACAAGATCAAGTCCAGAATTACACATCAACCAAGCCCGCTAGAGCTCATCCTTGAAGAAGATTTCCTCGCTGCCGTCTTCGGCATCATTAGTGGTCGGCTCTGATTCTTCTGGCTCCTGATGGTCTGTTTTCTCGTCTGCCTTCTTCTTTTCCTCTGCTGTCTCTGCATTTGATTCCGCCTTGTCAGGTGTAGCTTGCTGTGCCGGGTGCGATGAAGAGTCCTGTGCGGCCTGATCTTCTTTCTCATCGTCGTCGGGGTCGACGGTTCCGACTAAGCCACGCTCGCCGTTAGACTCGACAATCTCTAGTGTCCAGTCCTTGCCCTTGGCAAGCTCCTCGAGTCGGCTTTTCAGTGTCTCAATCTTCTCAGGATCAAGGCCGTATTTCTTCAACTCCTCCTTGGACAACCTGGTGACCTCTCCGTTTTCGCGCTTGGCAACCACCTCGATCTTCTCTTCTCCAACAGATGCCACTCGACCCTTCTCGATCTGCTTGCCCTCAGACCCTACCCATTTCTGCGCCCCGACCTCGATATCCCCGACAACAGGAAACTCGGATGTAATCGCGGATTCGACGAGCTGCTGAGCCAAATGGTATTCCCGCCTTGCTTCCCAGTCGGAGACGTCCTCCTCGGAGAGAATCTCCCGGCATTCGATCGCGTGCGCCTCGTCCTGCTGAGGTGGCAGAAATGCGACATCGTTGCACAAGCGCGGAGTGTAGATCACCATCAGATATGAGCAAGTCGTGAGCTCCTTGATCCAACCGATCCGATCTGTGGATTGCGGATGGCAGTGAAACTGCACTTCGATCTTCCGGTCTTTGCCTGTCAAGTCGCACTTGGTTCCGCCGCGCAGTCGTTGCACTAGGTACCGCGACCCGCCCTTCGTCTGGAGCTCGGCGACATCTGTAGTTGTCTTTTTGTGCTCCGCATCCCCCTCCAGATCCTCATCGTCGCCACTATTCGGAAACCTGCCCAGCACGAAAGAATGAGTCGCAGAGTCTTCTATTGGCGGGTAGTTGGGTACGCCTGGGCCGGACGGTAGTGCATGAAACTGCTTGATTTGCTTCTTGTAGCAGAATGAGTATGACCACCATCCGGATATGTAGTACATGCATTTGCCTTCCATCTCGCGCAGAAGCTCCAGGCCACGATCCGTCGCGCGTGCAATTTCTCGCTTCTCATCCTCTTCACTGGCACTATCAGCTCCGTTCGTCTGGTTCTTGTCTTCGTTGTCGACTTGCGGGATGGAACAGAGATATCGCTGTCCATCAAGGAGCATCTCCTCGTATGTGAACCCAGGTCCTTCTATCGCCTCTTTATTATCGTCTTCGGATTCATCTTTCCGGCCTCCCAGATATACTTGCGCATCATTGCTTTCGGCGAATGTTTTATCAGCGGAAGAGGAAGAGCTCTCTTGTTGTTTCTCTAATAACTCCCTCGCCCGCGTATCGAGAATGTAATCATCCGGGAAGAAGACTTGGAACTACAAGCATATACCATTAGCAAAATTGCCTGTTTATTTTATGCAGACGCCTAAAAAGCGAAACACGTGTGGCATACTTGAGGATACGCAAGAAGATCATCCTGTATGTTGAACGCCTTCTTGCTGGCCCAAGCGCCGGAACCGGCGCAAGCCAGCACCAGCAATGGCGTGAGAGTCCGTATACGTCGGACCATGACTTCGTGGTTTAGACCGATAGCAGTAACTAGATACCAATTGATCGTTATGCCACACAAGTCCTCGCTGCTTGAAGCTCTGGTGGGAAATTCCTAAGGTTATTGCCTTTTGTGCGGGGTGTCAGGGTCAATGAAGTGAAAGGCGGCAATTCATTCTCATGATTATAGCAGCATATAGGAATCAAATCTCAGAATGCAGAGGTATGGCATTAGAAGCTGTAGCTTCAGAACATGACAGCTGTAAACAACATCATTGATCTGCTATCATCGGCGGAGATCCGCATTGTGTCCTTATCGACACGTGGATAAGGAATTCTTAGGTCATCCACCGATGAACCGAACGCTTCAAGGAAACGAAGGGAGGGAAAAGGATCGAACACAATGGAATCAATACTTGATTTCCACCAGAAGGTAAACTACTTTTTGACTATCTTGAAGTGATACCAATCCCCAGGTATTTGGCACTTCATTACTACAATTGTACGATTCCCCACAACCTGCAGTAACCAACAACTGCGATTTGAAAGCATAGAGATAGATGCCTAATGCTTTGGGGATAATTGGAGACATTGCCAACCGAACTCCATTCAGACGCCAAACAACGCAACCAGGGTATTTTTCAGAGTAGATAGATATCCTCCCAGGTATAGTGAAAAATAAAGAAAGAAATGCGTGGACCAAGAGGCAAAGTGAAGGATGCGCAAGCTATGTTCGTATCATACAGAGTCATGAAAATGGACAAGTCACTAGCAGGAGAACGTATAGCAGATTAGGTCCGAAGGACTGGGGCTTGATGCCTTTTCATTTACTGGCCAAGTGCAGCGTATCATCAAGTCTCTCCCCAGAGGCCAAAAACGGAGAGGTCTTCTGCCATGTAGAGAAGACCGTTCTCCGAGAATAGTACATCGGACAAGGGTGTTTGCCCTCCGGCATCTGTTCCCATTCCCGCTTGAGCGGTTGTGAGGGTTCCTCCCGGTGAACAACCAATGGGTATTCCCGTTGTTGTCAAAGTAGATATAGTATTATCGTACGGCAGCGCAGCCGCTCCTTGAGGACCACACAGGGTATTCCAAATGTCATTCTCCGATTGACCTGTGGAGGCTGTCTGTTCCGGCCCTTCCGCAGAAAGCGAGCCTGTAGCGAGCTTTTCTGGAGATAAGGGAGATGGGGCTGACTGCTCGCCACTGCGGCTTATAGCCACGTTGTCGTTGGAGGCTGATGGTTCTCTTGTAAGCCCTACTTGGCCAAACAGCTGGTCGACCTGTTTGCTCCGGCGTTCCATCCATTGACGGTTTCGACGGCGAACATATTCGGCCACCGCGCCTCGCAGGTATTTGATGATCTGGTAAAAACGACAGGCGTGCGGATCATGTGGTACAAATAGTCCCAGAAACTTTTCGGACTTGTCCAGGCCTTCCTCGAGCGGAAGAAGATTGTCATACTCAGCAAAAAACGCTGCTCCCAAAACGACGGCCGAGTTGAAAACTGAATTAATCAGAAAAGGTAGTCTCCGAGGTAGAGCTTCAAACCGAGACAGATCGTCCACAATGTTGAGACAGCGTAGAGCAGAGTAGACACAAGCGTCAGAGAAAAGAGCGATGCGAGAGGCGCTGGCTCTTGGATCGTTGGAGCTGATAGCCGGATCAGTCTTACTTCTCACGTATTGAGACACCCGAAATATGAAGAACGGCCGAGTTAACAGGATGATAGACCAGTAGTATGCGCCGAACACATGCGCCGCGGCCAGCATACTCTCAAGGTTTTTTGAACTTAAACGCTCCGTCTGGGCACTAAGAAAAGTTGGCAGGTTCCGGACCCAAGCGCGGTGCTGATTTGAGATTGTTTCCGCAACATTGATCGAGACGACTTGTCTCATGTAGACTTCCGTCAGGATGCGATCAAAGATACGGCATAATGCAACCACGCATAGGGATAACTGCGCTTCAGGTTGGGATCGCTGTTGCTCCCCTGCAATTGTTGCCTGATCACCTATATCAGAATCAAAATCTGAGGTCGCCGGAGGGCGCCCTAAGGAAGCGCTAAGGAACAGGTCCATCATCCGTAAGCTTTTCCAAACCCGCTCCCGGGCCCGACGCTCCCGAGTGCAGAATAGGGCATTCGCGTCCCTTCGATGAATTCCAACGGCATATGCAGCCCGTAAGGCGATTCCCAGGTTCATGAACGCGCCATTGCGACGACACGCACCAAGCATATACATTGAGATCAAGACATAAGATTGGATCGTGTAGAGGCTGGGGGTTTCGGTGAAAGCGGAGAATGCTAGCTGGCGGCCACTGACGAAGTACTGTTCAGCGAGATCCTGATTGATCTCCGAAACCTGAACTCCGATTGCGAGAACAAGGTAGAAGATCGAGCTGACAGTATCTTCATCGCCAGTGGGATTCCCAACCCAGTTGGCGAGCCGGGGATAGAACTCCTCGAGATCGAATAGATCCAGTAATGGACTGGTAGCAAGGACATATTGACGAGCGAGTCGTTGCGCCTCGTCGTTACTCGGCGGTGCAGATAACGGTCCTGTTTGGGCAGCCGAACTACTCTGAAAAGCCTCAAGCATGGAGTGCCGCGACGTATCCTCTGTGAACTCGCATCGCCCGATTGACAAAGAGACGATACGACGTACACTTTGCAGGAACGATAAGCTCGCAGAGTCGCCAATATACATGAATTTTCCTTGCCCATCACGAAGCAGTCTGGCGACCTTGGGCACAGGCGCCGTCCCGTCTTTGTCATCCGTTGTTTGTTGCTCCAAGTCTGCACTATGATCCTCGAGGGCGTTCAGCAAGCGATCCATGGCCGTTTGCCTCTGCGGAGTCGGCACCATGTGCTCGCTAAGAAGCATAGTCTCCTTAGGAGCATTAGCCTTCAGTAAGCGGGCCGGTTTATCTGAGAAGCTGCATTCCGCTTCCTTGCGACGCTGTATACAAATCGTACACGGCTGTTCTCCATTACATTTCTGCTTTCTCCGTTTACAGCTGTCGCAAGCTCTCCGGCATCGAAGCCGTGCGCCAGGAGCTGTACTAGCCCTAGGCATGGCTTAGAATTGTAAGCGTCTTTGCGCAAGGGGTCAGGCCACGGGATATTCATGGATGCATGGAACGTCGGAGCCAAGACGCGGGGTCCGTTCTCGGTGATATGTTGGATTGCGAGGCGGAAGAAATTCCAGGACCCAGACTGGCTATGAAGTGCTTAGAAAATTCATTTCTCGATCGGCAAACCCATAATTAGTGCCGGAGTCACAATGCTTGCCCGAGAAAGAGGAACGAGGCTCATTGAAGCTGTCAAGTTATATGGGACGATCCGATCCCCCGGCATTGGCACTGCGGAGATAGCTGCTTACTAAACTGCCGCTTGCACGAGCCTTTCCTTAAAAAGTAAGTCACCTAGCAGCTAGAGAGCGACATCATCAAAGTGCTTCGGGATAACCCCCGCAAGGACTTTTCAACTGGCAAAAAATGAAAGGATCTGGACTCTAATGCAGGCCTGAAAAATACAATCATTTCTTATATTCCTTTTTATCGCGTATTCTTCAGGCCTCCATCGAAGAACTACAGCTATACAGATGCTAGCTATCATATGGAATGTGATTCCAGAGTCTCCCGTCCTATTTTCAGATGCGTCATGTGAAAGACGAGTAATGTCCATGGCGTAGTTTATCGATACATATTGGTATTCCATGTGATCCTCGTCCGTCTATTCTGACCGAAATGATACCACTTTACCCCAAGTGTCAGCTGTGCCCCAAATGCCCTGTCGCAGGCATGACAGTTGAACAATCTGACTATGGTCAACGAACAAGTTGACATCGATGCCGAACTCCCTGATATACCAATTGAACACTTTGGGATCTGCCGCCTCGAACATGACCCGCTCAGACGGCAATTCCTTCATTATTGTGGACACGACGTCAGTCCGCCATGACTGCACGTTCTCTGTTATGCCCTCAGATTCGATCATCAAGCGTTCCACACCCGCGTCGAGGAATTTACGGCCCATGTTAACGAGCTTTCCTGGGTCGGAAGTTCCAAGAGCCTCAAGATCGGAAGCAGGTGTGTCACCTCCAGCACCAAACTGAATGCCGAGCTCAGGCTTTGCCTTCAGCTTGTACGTGTGGACTTTGTCAACCAGGCGAAGCCAGTCATCTTCTGGGAACGATAAGAAACCAGATGAGAGTTCAATAACATCGAATCTTTGAATGTGTTAGTCTCGAAGATCGGGCAAATGGTACGAGAGGCAGTGCCTCGACGCGGGTAGACGAACCCGAGATCCTTGCACTTCTTGAGGTACTTATCAAAGACAGAATTGGCATCGGGATGTGTGAGAAGATGCTCGGCCCATCCCCCCTGTGATCAGTGGAACCCCGGTCAGATGGTAATTTTCCTAATACCTGCGATGGAACAAACCTACAGTTGAAACATAAACACCGTAGTCGTGGGCGAGGTCTATCAGTTCTCTCAAGGGCTTTTCCTGGAAGAGAGAGAAAGAGCCTGGGTTTCAATCAGCGGAGCTCAAAAGGTGGTACACTTCATTGATACATACCTCCTGCGAATTTCAGACCATCTACATGGGTGCCCATTCTGAAACGAGCGTCAATACCTGTGTTGGGAATCTCTTTGCGGTTCTTTCGATGCTTACGTTTCTAGAACATCGGCTAAGTATCGCTTTCCCATCACCTAGAATGGCACCGCTTGTATCAGCTCTGCGATTCTCACACTGCCCTATGCTGGTTCCGGTTTCCTCTGATTTCCCGAAAGCGCATACCGTATAGTATGGACCTCTGATCTCTGTGACCCCTTTGCTTCTAGGCTTAGGAGGCCTAGGGTTTGATCGTGCAAATCCAAATCCATGATGTTTATCTTGGAGCAATGTCAGCTGCTTTTGCGCCGGATATGATGTCGCAAAATATCTTGACAATCCTGTTGTTGTCGCGAGCGTGGACCTCTGTCGCGGGATAAGCCCGGCGATATATTTCGGGGTCGTAGCAACGCGAGGTGTGACTGCCAGCATTATCTCCGTTTTCCTGCCCACAATTTGGATGAGACTATGTTAAAATTTCACCTTATAATTTGGCAGCTCGAATCTTCCTTAGGCTCTGATATTCGCACGGCTTATGAATTGAAATAGTGCTGCTAAGCTTAGGGGTAGTTTGGCCCTAAGCAGTTCCCGTCGCTGATGGGTGAGTTGTTTGACGTCAAACATATGTAACTTAAATGCGGAATATCTAAACAATGAATTTCATTTCCTTCTCTTGTTCTTCTCAGAGAGCACCATGAAGTCAAGATGGCGACAGTCCTAAGAGCTAGTGACGTCATTTATCCTAGAGACAACTGCTGCTCCTTATGCATGAATTGATAACCAGCTTGAATATACATTGTTTCAGCTCACTCCTACTCCATGAAGTTACAATGTCCATGCTGGATTATAAGGCTCCGACTACCTGTAACTCTAAAGCCAGACCGTATCTGATTAAGGGTTCCATGCTCGACTTCCCTATAGTTGGATCGGACGCGCGTCAACGGATTTGGGTCCCATATCCTTTGGCTGTTCTGCCGTTCATCCTCCATTTCTCCTTGTCACATGAAGCGAAAGGGCGGGCTGGTGAGAAAGAGTGTGGGATAGATGCGAATTATGCGCTAATCTAATATCCTGAAGCCAACATGGAATTGAATGGCCACCATAGATACCTGTGTAAATATACCTTATGAAGAGAGACACTGCAGATACTCCTCGTTTGTTGATAGTTCGAGATATAGCTAAATTAGCAATACCGAGCCCGCTTGGTTCTCTCCAATTATCTTCCGTATGACACAACCCAGATATATATTGTCACCTATTCCACTCCTCAGACTCTATTCTCCACAGTTTCAAAATGAATATATCTGAATAGAAGATGTATGCGATATCTAAGGGGTAGATGAAGCAAAAAGGGAAAAACAGGCAATAAAAAAAAGACGCGTCAGCGTGAGGGTCGATCACGACTTTCACATCTCTGTCACAACTGAGGGTAGATCTGATTGATTAGTGGGAAAGTTTGAACTCGCAAGTCCGACACTCTAACCAACTGGTAGAAAAGTTCAATATGTGATCAAGACCTAAGGTAGACTACATGGTCTACGACCTAGAAGGCCTGCGGGCCGTCTGGTTGGTTTCCTGGCTATCTGCGGACGTGCCATCCTCCAGGTATACTCTTGATGACAACGGGATGCCTTCTCAACCTACATTGGGAGCGATATCCAGCCAAGGTGAATCTACTCCGGAAGTCGGAAAGCCGATGCACCGACTCGGTGAAGCTCGTTCCGGTCGTCAATGAATCTTGTGATGACGAAGGCATATGGACAGTTTGAGTCTTCATCGCATCTCTTGACCAATTCTCTCACATTTCAGCAGCGGGGTATCAATGATCCTGATAGAGAGGTATACAGAACTTCTTCTCGCATGAGTGACCTGTACTGGGTTTCCTCTTCTGTATGGCAGGCCTGGAGTACCCAATGGTGATGATGATAATGATGGTTGACCTCTAGCCAATGGCTTTGCATAAATCTCTGTCCTCGACTTGGCTTGCCTGACTAAAGGGTACCTTGATAATAAAGAGGGCCGCTCTGAAGTGATAAACCTTACGTGCATCTTATCATTGGCTGCAGCCACCCACCGCAGGCCAAGTTTACCGTATCACTAATGGCAAATTTAGGTCCTAGCTAGGCTCATGTGACGTGGCACAAGTACTATGCTCTATGGATGACCACAATCTACCAAGACAAATCTAACAATAAACTTGTTTGACCGTACTGATTACGACAACTGATTGGTAGTATCTAATGGCCACGAATACAAAGCAGGGTGTTTCAGGTGAAGCGGAAAAATTTATCGCATTACTCATTTTCGAGGATTTTCAAATGGAAGTTTTACAAAATCCACAACAGGATGGGACCATGAGTAAGGTTCCGAACTCCGAGGCCCAGATCCCGATAGGGCTGTTCTGTGGCTTTCCGTGGTCTCCGCTTGTCCACGCTGTCTTGGCATTTTTTCGTGTTTGGCAGCAAACTCTAACTGGCATTGTGACAAACATCAAATTATGAACTAGATAGGACAGTTAGGTAGATATGGTGGCCAAGATACGAAGTAGTAGAATATAATGACTGATAATGAAAACGGCACGGAACTCTTAGTTGACCTGGTATAGTCTAGAGACGTAGATACTAAGTCACACTGAAGGCCATTAGCGCACAAATATTATGAATGTTTCCCAATGTTGCATGAGTCCTGATACCCGGTTGCTCCGGCTGTACATTGCCGCTCCTTGCTTGGCACACGGAACCTCTCATAGTTCCAGGTACCTCTTCGATGTTCATGGCTTCCCCTAGTATGGCTCAAGTGGCTCAACGAGGAAGAAAATCTGGTCAAAGAAGGGATAGATCCTCTCAATTAATCCGGATTGTTATGATTTTTTCTGTATTATACTCTGTAACATGTATGCAACTTAGCAAATTAACTGGAGCTTTGGGAAGGTGCCCGCGTGCGAATAACCAAGAGGGGCAAGTGTTTATGCTGGACCCATCCGAGCCTTCCTCAACTTTGATTGACCAAGCTACCAAAACGAAGCAGGTTGTTTGTTATTCATTCAAGTTTATCCATTGATTCACGATGCTTGGAAATCCCTTACCAACCGGACTTCCCCATCCCAGCTCACCATCTAGAGGATGTGACCATTTATTTCTCTTCCTCAGGTCTCACTGCGGGAGTACTTATTCACTCATTGTTTCACTAGTGCCCTCTCTCAACCCCGGGGAACCAGGTATTCGACATGCTTGCTTGGCCTGTCTAGGTACCTAGCTAAACCTCGCGTGCGCCTCTAGCCCCCTAGCTCTTCCTATGTGGATGATGTCGTCTTTCCTTTCCAAGTTTCCAGCGCACAACTCCATCCTACAGTAGTCTCAAACCTCCCATAATTCGTGGCATTTAGTGTCCCGGTGCCTGGATTTTCCTGGATGTGACCTACCTACCTACCTACGTACTCTTATCTTTAGTGATTCCCTTTCCTGATATTGACATCCTCCTCCTTGAGTACTCTCATTCTTCTCCCTGGCTATCTCCTGTCTCGCCTCAAGGGCCCTTTGTCAACATGGGAGCTGGGGCTATCCTGGAGCCCCTGGTCGTAATTGTCTTGCTCTTCGGAGGCACCTGGATAAATCGATCTACCGCAGCTTTCTCTTCTGTGCGCAGAGTTCGTAGATCCAGCACGTCTACACGTGCTTGTTCTCCAGACTCGCTGGAGTCGGGCTTATCGTCGCCGGCATCAAAGGACGCTCTGTTGAACGAACGATCCCTGTCACCAACACTGGTGCAATTCGACGACGCTCGATGGCGCAAACGCCAGATTCGGATCCTCTCATGCACTTTTGAGGTCAAATCTCCTGATACTGCTGTCTTTCAAGATCGTCTTCTCAGTCGCTTGCTCCGAAAGTTCCCTTTTCTGGTTGAGTGCTGGTACTGGGCCTTAGTTTACTGGGTATGTCCTTGGTTTCTATATTGTTAGCAATCTCTTTTCTGCTTGAGAGGGGAAAAGGAAAGGGTAGAAACAGTACGCTTACACGTCAAACTCTAGACATATCAACTAGGCCGTGCATTCACGGCGGTCACTCTCCAAGAAGGAACTGTTGATGTAGCAAGGAAACATGCTCTTCAGATCATCCAAATAGAGAAAAGCTTGTGCATCTTCTGGGAGGTCTCAATTCAGCGGTTTTTCCTTCGACATAGTCAGCTGATGTCCGCGATCAACTGGGTGTACTCCTTCATACACATTCCAGGCACTATCGCCTTCCTCGTTTGGCTCTACTACTACACTACAACGCGGAACCGAGTCGATGAATCGCAGACGGGAAAGCCCTTGGGTGCTGCGAAAGGATCCCCTGCTGGCCCGCTGCTTTATCAAGCCCGACGCCGTACCCTCGCCGTTTGCAATCTCCTCGCTTTCGTGGTCTTCACTCTGTGGCCCTGCATGCCCCCTCGCCTCCTCAGTGACAAGAATGTGAAAGGCCCCGACGGAGAGCTAGGACGTAGCTTCGGCTTTGTCGATACTGTGCATGGCGTCAATGGTGCTGGTAGCGTCTGGACCGAGAATCGGTTTTGTAACCAATACGGTAAGCATTGTTAATTGTCTATTGTTCTTTTAAGCTCTTCTCTTGCGGTGCTAACTGTAATCTTGTCGACAGCTGCCATGCCCTCGTTGCACTTTGGATATTCCCTGATGATTGGACTTACAATCATGACTATCCCATTGCCGCCACATCAACGCCGGCCTGCTGTTCGCTCGCGCTTGTTTTGTCGCACGCTGGGTTTCCAGCTCCCGTCATGGTCCCGTTTAGCCTGCTTGTTGGTCGGATTTCTCTATCCGTTCGTTATATTGGTCGCAATCATCGCCACCGCCAATCACTTCATTCTCGACGCTGTTGCAGGGACAGTCGTCTGCGTCCTAGGATGGCGGTTCAATGGCATCTTATTGAATCTTCTGCCGTTGGAGGACTATTTCCTCTGGCTAGTTCGCATCCATAAACCAGAACCTACAGCTATGGACGGTAT